AGTTAACAGGCCGGGTAGCCGCCTTAAACAAGTTTATGTCTCGAGCTACGAATAGGTGCTTTCTTTTCTTCAAGGTTCTCGGAGGTAACTGAGTCTTTGGTTGTAATGAGGAATGTTATAATAATTGAGTTTCTTTTCTTTTCATCTCTTTTTTCTCTTTCCCCACCTTTCATGTCATCTATTTGTACATCATTATGTATAAAATGATATATAAATAGTATTACTAAAAAATAAATATAAGCCTATATTTTCTACTCATTTTTAACCACACATTCTTCAATAAAATAATATTTTCCATCAAATCAATAACTTTTCCTTCATTTTTAACCACATATTCTCTACCAATCTACTATTCAATAATACATTCTTTCAAAAGAATGTGTCCCAAACACACCCTAAATCAATGTCACTAATTAATTTTAACCACATATATCATAAGAAACACATTTCATCATTTTTTATGAAAATCTAAAAAAAAATTAATTTTAATCCCCATCAAACGGTGGCGGGCTAAGCAACTTTGAAGCTTAGTGGCTTGGACCTATCCCTAATTAGCCCATGGGCCTTAATACATGAAATCTATTGGCCCATTTGCCGATAGGTGGGTCTAAAGTTTTGTTCCGGGTCTCTTATTATGACCCGGCATCTGTTTTCCCATATCCAAAAATTGGGTCACTGAAACTCCATCCTCTCCTCTCTTCTCTATCTAAAAATGGCAGTCTCCCCTTCTTCCTCGTGTCTACACTCCAGAAATGGAATCCATCAGCCTTCTCTCAGGTTCTCTCTGGTGGTAGATTTTTTTTTCCTGCTAAATTTTATATTTAATTTATAAATTTCGTTTTGCAGTTGTGCCAGCAAAGTTTTTGTGGGTTTAAGAGTTCAATCTCCAAGTCTGTGTTCTTATCCTCTTTTTCCTATAGTTTACTATTTGAATTATGTTATTCAGGAAATTAACTTTAATTATTTTCTGTTTTGATTTTTTTCAGACTCTTATGAGATTGGAAAATCTAACTTGAATGTGGAGTTTCATAATAAAGTTTACAAAAGTATTGAATCCAGGTAAACTTTTGCTATTTTTTGATTCCTGGGTCTTTATAGATGGATTCCTAATTTTGTATTTGAAGTGGATAGGATACAAGCATGTGTACTGGAAATTCTATGCAATTTGGAAATTTAAAGATTTTTCATTGAGTTTAAGGGGTCGTTTTCTTGCTAGGAATCTATTTCTCGGAAAATTTGACCAATTTTCATTTTAATCAATAACCATTAAAGTTGAATGAAAAACCCCAAGGTGTAATTTTTACGATGCACACTAGTTATTTGAGCTATTGCACAACAGTGACATTCAAGAGTATAGCTGACAAACAACCGTAATCTATATTCCTGGGATTCAGGAATTCCCACCAAATAAGTTTCGGTTGCTCAATAATTTGAAATTGCGATCTTAGGAATTTATTTGTCAATGCACAGGTTGTATTTTGTTTTCTTGCTCAAATTTCTATTTTCCTTTTTGAATGTAACTAAGCCCCCGTTTGACACCCGTTAATTTCTCATTCTCATTTTCATTCTTCATTTCAACCTCACATTCTCCAAATAAAATAATATTACACATAAATCAAAACCTTTTCATCACTTTTCCACCACACATTCTCACATCAATCACTATTCCAAAATTTCTATTCTCCTTAAAATTAGATTCAAACACACCCTAAATTTAAAAAACTGGAGAAGTTTGTAAGATGCAGATGCGTGGTTTTGAACTGTATATGTGAAATTTGCTCTGCATCTTTTGGTATTTTGGTGATACTCATGAGAGAAAAGATGAGCCTCGATGGTTTCTCCTTCTCTGAAGAATCGCATTTTACAGTTGTTGAATTTTCATTAGTACAATGTTCAGTGGAATTATGCAGGATATCTGAACCCCCTTTGTTGACTTGTTTCACACTTCCAGGACTTGTAAC